TATTTATACTACTTGGTGTAGATCTCTATACTACAATTAAAATTTAAATTACTCTTTCAACAATAACTGCTAACTCTGTTGAGTGACCTACATCAAAGACCTAAGAATCCACTACACACATACCATTAATTTTGAACAGCACATCAAATTACAGTTGGTTAAGCTCTAAATTGGGTTTCATCAAGCGTAATATACTAAAACGTTTACCTCTATTAAATGACTTCGCACCCTCTATTTGGCCTTATAGTTTGGTCTGTTTTACAGTACAGTGAGGTAGTGTGGCACCCTGCATAATATCTTTCGAGGACCAGTTAGATTAGGTCTTGTCCAATACAAATTTTTGTCTTATACCTCATTCGTTCACAACATACAGTATCATGCTCACAACCACTCCGCTATCATTAATTCATTCAACATTCTCACYCTCTTCTTCCGACACCATGACACTGATTCCAACTTTATGTCATTTCCGAACCTTCTTGCCATGTTCTTTCGTGCAATTATATAATAAACTATCAGCTTTTTTCCGTACTTTCCATCACAAGTTATTATGACCATAGTCCATAACTATTCTGTTCATCTGTATGGACTGTATGTTTTAAAAACATTTAGCCACTTTCAAACCATTCCACAATATTATGTATACCATTTTATAAGATACGTTGTTATTGACTCGTCAATAACAAAATAATATATGATATAATATTAATATCGAATGATATTATGTTTCCTAAAAAAATTGTTCGACATACCGTATTGTCGTATTAATAATAGAAAAATAAATATTTCTAAATCTAACATTTTATAAATAGATAGTAAAATAACATTAAAATCAAAAGGCTGACAAATAATTTCAGGTTTCCGTACAGAACTATTTTCCGTATTGGTGATTTATTAATTATTATTGAATTAAAGTTAAACACATCTATAGCAGCTATAGTGAACTAATTAATGACAATACATACTCGCCATAACTTATCAACAGAGTGAAATCTATGGTTTTTTTTTTTTTTTTTTTTTTTAATTTGAGATTTTTCGAAATCATTGTAATGACGGTACGTTTGATTGTAAATAATATTATCTATTATATATGTCACAGTTTAATAAATAATTAACGGACAATTTTCGCTTATGGGTGCTTGCTTGAGATCTAAGAACAATTAAGTCATAGGCTAAAATACTATTATTTGTCAGTGGTTGACAATAACCATCCTCGGACACCACACTCACAATCCGGGCCCACCCAATTGACACAATTAACTTTTACGGAGGTGCGTAAAAATAGYGTRCAGCTTAATATTACAATACAATCGTAGAGCATCGTCAAAATYATTACACTTCTCCAACCCCCGTGGTTAAATCGTATATAATCCGTAAGCAGTGRGATATTAATTGCTATAGTTACTCTGTAAGGCTAATGCCCACCGAGAGCAAAATAGAGAAYTTCGATACTATACAAATATTCAATACGTGCGCAGAGCGCCGTGGTGTCAGGTAAAAATACGTTATTTTTGTTCATATAATTTGAAAAAATAACAAAACAATGGAAACATTTTTTTTTACTAATTTCGTTTTTGAATGAAAGCGTATACATTTTTAATTTTGGTATTCCTAAGCAAAATGTTTTAATGCTGCCATTTAAAAAAATAAAAACCTTAAAATGGTTAAAACTAGATTTTGAGAATATTAATAATGATCTCTTAAAGTATTGGCTTGTATATAATAAATTATTATTATAATATGTTTGGAAACTTCTGGATATGAGCGAAGCGTTGATGATATGATGTACTTTGTTATAGCAATTATCTATAATACAATATTAAAATTTCCTTTTTCTCTTTAACTTACCCATTAAAATATTTTTAATACTAATTCTCTGGGGAATGCTGGTAGGTATGTAAACTAAACGAAACTATTATTATTGAWGTGATTATCCGTTTGTAATAATTACGTACCCTTATAAAAAATTTAAACAATGGGTATTTATATTTAAAAAAAAACTCAAACTTGTTATTTCATAAACATTAATTCTCTTCACCGTTCTGATATATTTCTTATTTTTTGTTCACAGATAGGCAACACGTTAATTATATTCGCCGTGTTTACAACCAGGCGACTTCGGACAGTAACGAATTACTTCGTGACGTCATTGGCCGTCGCTGATTGGCTTGTGGGAACGTTCGTCATGCCAATAGCCGTCGTCTACCATGTTAGAGGTAAGTGCACTGCAGTGATGTGCACTAGGGTGCAATGATGTTTATTTTTGTCATTAATTTACTTACTGTTAAATGATCGTCAGGCGAATGGACATTTGGAAGTTTGATATGTGATATTTGGGTTTCGCTCGACGTGTGCCTTTGTACTGCGTCGATACTTAGCCTTTGTGCCATATCAATCGACAGATATTTTGCCATCACCAGACCTCTGCGGTATTCAAAAAAACGGAGATCTAAAAGACTGGCGTTACTCATGATACTGGTCGTATGGTTGGTTTCGTTGGTCATAACATGTGCTCCACTTTTTGGATGGTTCGTACACTATATATTACATTATATTGAGTGGTTTTATGAGGTATAGCAGGGTGTTTCTGGATAATGATAAATTTAGAGAAAACATACATACATCAGAAATTTAATATTGATTTATTGTTTCATATAGGTATGACAAAGAACGAACGATCACCGATAACTGTACCTATAACCAAAACCCCGGGTACGTTGTATTCTCTGCGATGGGATCATTTTTCTTGCCGTTGATAGTCGTGGTCTACGTGTATTTAAAAATATCCTGCGTGATCGCTGAAAGGCATAACAAACTTGAAGCCCTTAACGGACAAAAGTTGAAGGTAAAAGTATAATTAACATTATTAAACATATAGTACAGTTGTAAGAGTAGTAGGACATATTAAAACGGTGTGTGCGTTCTACCTTAACATCCAATTAAAGTGTATAACATTATAATTATGAACAGCACGTGTACGTAATGCTATTATAATTTATAAATTATAATACTCGCATCGTATGAATATAATATGTTATAGTGACTTTTCCGTTTATTTTTATGTTCCAATATTTACGATATTGTATATAGGTATTATTAGCTATAGCAATGAATTAGCGAACGGACAGAGTCAGGATAGCGTATCATTTTATTCAAAATAATAATATTAGGTATTCTGTTCGTCTATAAAAAAATTTACCAATATTGTAGCCACAATCAATAAATAACCTACATGTACGTACTAAATAATGAATATATTATTATGATAGGTATATAGGTATACAGTTTACATGGAAAACAATCAATTATATAATTGAGTCATAACGTGTGACACCAAATTATTGTCGTTCTCTGCAGTATAATCATAATATTGTTTGACATAATTACGTATAGATTTTCACAACTCGAAATTAACCGTAGTAACTACCTGCAAATATAAGTAAATAATTTTAAAAATATTATTTTTAACGCTCGTCACTTATTTTTTAGATTCTGAATAAAGTGATGAATGTATTGATTTTACGATGATGTGTGTGTTTTTTTTTTGTGTGTCTGTGTACAGCATAACTAGTCGAAATAATGCTTCAATTTCAAACTTTGGGGGTGGTTTCCGATGTAAAARTGAATATCCTTGGTGCATAATTAAGGTCAAAAGTTAACATTTTCCAACAGTTTTTAAAAAAATCGAGAAAAAGAAAAAAAAAATGACAGAAAAACAGGAATTTTTACGCAAAACAAGTTTTCGACCAAATCGATTATTTTATATGGTTGTAATTCAAAAACTAATCATTGTAAATAATTTTCACCAAATGTTTATGTTAGTGTTATATATATACAGTTTAATTTTCAAAAT